GGTCTTCTAAAATCATCTTTAACCACAGGAGTTCACACACTACTTGGACCTCTGATTCTGCACCAAATCCAATTGCCACATTCTGTTTCTTCCTTCTCCAAGTTACTAGATTCCCTTCAGAAAAGATACAATATCCAGAAGTGGATCTTTTGTCGACTAAAGATTCTGCATAATTTGCATCGGTGTATGCCTCAAGAAGTAGTCAATTGTTTCTTTTAAACATAATTTCCTTTCTCTGAGTATCCTTCAAGTAGTGGAGTATCCTATGACAATTTCTAAAGTGTACTTTAAATTTGTCCATAAACTTGCTTACTACACTAACTCCCCATAAAATGTTTGTTTGGTATGTGACAAGAAAATCAATTCCCCATCAGTCTTTGGTATATTTCCTTGTCTACTTCTGTGACTTACGTTGCACTCCTAGTTTACGATTGGGATCAATCCGAATGCTAGCGGCCTTGCTTGCTAGCTTGTCAGTTTCCTTCAAAAGATCTTTGACATAATTTTCTTGCAATATGAATTTTCTGGATTTTGAGTAGGCCACTTCTATCTCTCAAATTTTTTAATCTCAAATTTTCTACCCAGATATTGCGTGAGTACTACGTTTTTCTTCTTTGTGATTTCCTGTAATAATTATATTATCTACACATATCAGGAGGGTTCAACTTTTCCTAACCGTTGAGTGCGTAATGAACAGAGCGTGCTTTTCCTGACTCTACATGTACCCCATGAATGGCATCACTTTTGCAAGTCTCCCAAACCATGCCCAAGGGGATTGTTTGCTTGATCCCATATAATGTCATTCTTAGTTTACATACTTTGTTCATTCTTACTCCCTTAGAAACAGGGGAGGTACGTAAGTTTCTCTTGCAATTCTGCATGGAAGAAGACATTCTTTATATTAAACTGCTATAATTGCCAAGTGAAAATCTAGTACAAATAAGAATCACTTATGGTTGAAGAGAATTGGAAGTATCTGTTAGATTAAATAGTGTCATTGAAGATACAACAGAAGGGAATCATGAAACTATTGGGATTAAATTATACTATTCAATACAAACAATGATCATTTACCACCGGAATCAATGCTCGCTCAAGAAGAGAATTGGAAGATCTTATGGTGGAAGTATTGTCTATTGTATCTACCTCCAACCCTACTTGGATGATAGAAGTGATTAACAGCTACACCAGTGATCTCTTCACTCAAAATTACTCTCAGAGTCGATGATTTGCCCAAAAAGCAAATCCCTCTTCAACTTGCAACAAGACATTATCAGGTACAAAAAAAGATTGGTGATACGCAACAAAGAAGAGCTGTGGAATCAACCCTTAGACCAATGTCACAACTCCGCGACAGGGGGACACTTAGGAACAAGGACTGTCTACGAGTAAGCCAAACAACATTTCTATAAGCGTAATATGGAGAGTCATATGATGCAATAGGTCCAACAATGTGATATTTGCCAACAAAGAAGAGCTGTGGAATCAACTCTTAGACCAATGTCACAACTCAGCGATAGGGGGGACACTTAGGAACCAGGACTATCTACGAGTAATCCAAACAACATTTCTATAAGCATAATACGGAGAGTCATATCATGCAATAGGTCCAACAATGTGACATTTGCCAACAAAGAAGAGCTGTGGAATCAACTCTTAGACCAATGTCACAACTCAGCGATAGGGAGACACTTAGGAACCAGGACTGTCTACGAGTAAGCCAAACAACATTTCTATAAGTGTAATATGGAGAGTCATATCATGTAATAGGTCCAACAATGTGATATTTGCCAACATTGCAAAACAAAGAAGATCCCCCTGTACATGGTCTACTATAGTCTTTTTGCCCATACATCAAAGGCTTGGACTCACATATCCCTTGACTTCATCAAATAACTACCAAAATCTAAGAGAAAATATACTATATCAATGGTAGTAGCCTGTTTTACCAAATATGAACATTTTATACCACTACATCATCCATTAGTTGGCACTAGATTTGCCAAATATTATGAGGAACTGTGCACAACCTACATGAAATTCTACAAGTGATAATGGTCGCCAGAGATAAAATATTATCAATCTGTTCCAGAAGGAACTTATGAAAGTAGTAGGAACAAATTTGCACTTCAGTTATGCATATCATCTGCAGACGGACAGCCAAACTGAATGACGCAACCAATATCTTGAGATGTATCTCCACTACATGGCAAATTAGCAAAAAAAAAAACTTGGGGTAAAAGGCTCGCTGTTGCCGAATGGTGGCACGATACCTTCTATCACACAAGTCTAAGAATGACATTATTTCAAGCACTTTATGGATATACTCATCCACATATCTCAAACACTGTAGACCTTTACTCAACTTCACCTTGAGTGGAGATGCTCTTGTATGAAAAGAGAAGGTAATAAAATGATTAGACAAATTGAAGGCATAATCTCAAACAAAACAGTATGCAAACAAATACCAAAATAAAAGAAGTTTCGAATTTCAAGATCCAACATTGCTCAAACTACAACCATTCAAATAAGGATCAGTAAGACGAGAAAGGGGGGGTAAATTATCCCCTCGCAACTATAAACCTTTTTAAGTCTCACAGAGATTGGGAATGTGGGACATAAGCTCAAGTTGCCAACAATCTCACAAATTCATCCGGTCTTTCATGTCTCCCAACTCAAGATATATGCCACGAGCACAAAAGTGATCAAGCAAAACTTACCAACCAATACTTACAAAAGCTTAGTCAGTGTGCAACTCATTAAGTCCCGCAGAAACAAACCATTCTGCATGATAACCAGCCTATGGACTAAGGTTTTATCCAATTGGAGGGTTCTCCAACTAAATAAAGCACATGGGAAGATTGCGAGTATATTCGACATCAGTTTCTAGGTCTCAACATTGAGAACAAGGTTGTTGTTCACAGGGAAGGTATCGTCACAAAACTGCTACAAGTGTACCATAGGAGAAGGGTAAAAAAGACAATAGATTTATAGGGGTAAAATGGGAAAAATACACAAGGGTGAAAATGTTTTTTTACCATAGAAGAATCTGAAAGGTGTTTGTTCGAGGTAGGGTTTCAATGAGTTTCTATTTGTTAGCTATTGCAATCAACATGGATGTTGTAACCAAAAGTTGTTACATAGGTGCAACCGATGC